AGGAGAGCTTTCCTCTGTTTTGGGTGTAAATTAAAATTGTCCGCATTGCGATTTTTTTATAATGAGCGAGCAGTGGAGTGGGTCCGGGGATGGAAAACGTGAAAAACTCAATATTGAAAGACAACAAAAATAAAAATTAATTAATAATGGCCAAATATTTCAATGGGAAAATCGGCAAAAAGAAGCGACAGGAATCGATGATCAAAAGGAACAGAATTCGTTGTGAAAGGAAATACGTTATAATGGGAAATGGTGAATGATATTATATAAAGGTAAAAGCAGGAAGGAGGGTAGATGTAATTAAAGAAATATCAAAATACTTCCCAAAAATTAAAACAAAAGAAAAAACGTAGAAAAAAATAATTAATCAAATTTTGAATAGGAAAAAAATGGCTGACAAAGAAAGATGGGAAAACAAAAGTAATTTCTAACACATTACGAAGCCGTTAGTTGATTTCAAATTCAATTAGTTGTATGTCCTTTGCGTGACCTTACCCTACAGAGAGTCAAAGTTAAATGGCATACAAAACGGCAACCCCTAGACCGCAAAATCACACCAAAGCAGCACACCCCAAGACCCTGATATCCACCTTATATCTCCCAGCACAAAAGAAGACAACCAACCAACCAGTCAAGACAAGAAGCAGAGAGTGGGAACACTATCAAAAGTCAATTACAATGCAATTATTGTCTGCCCTTGCCACAGCATGCCCCTACCCAGTGGAAGAACCAAAAAAACATTTTGAAAAGCCATTGAAAACTTTAATTGAAAATATCAAATTATTTTCGAGTTAGCGTCAGCAAAACAAAAAACCAAAATGGGAGTTCAATAAGGTTAGGGGGGAACGTACAGGGAGTGGTAAAGGTAGTGTCCCTCTTGAGAGTGGAATTACTCAAGATATATGGGTGTATATGTATCATTAATTATGTGCCCAGATTGTAGTGGCGACAACTTTGTGCTTTCGAAAGAAAGTTGACTCCGGGAAAAGTGCCTAAGAGCAGCCAGGAGTCAGGCCAAATTCTAATGAGTTGGCATTTTCTGAAATTGTCTGAGACACAAAATCTTCCTCTGTAAGCAACACAAACCCAACCCCAGCCCCAATTCCCTGGAATTTCTCGTTGTAAAGTAGCTGAAATGACATTAAAAAGGCAAAACCAAGCAGAAAGGACATCCACATCCGCAACCTTATGGACACTAACCAGAGACACACACACACACACACACACACACACACACACACACACATATGGGAGAAGGATAATTCTTCTTCAACCCTGTTCCTCCTGCCATCTGCTTCCATCGTTTTATAGTTTACAATCTTATTATCTTAGCTTGGGCATCTCAAGTCCCATCTCATAGACACCATAGCCACACGACCAAAATCCCTCACTCCCCCCTTCCACACACATTTTCCTAAGGCAATTAAAAATCTTCACACTGTCGTTGATGATGTCCTTTTCCTGCTATGCTTTCCCTGCTATGCTTTTCGGCTGTTTTGTTGTCTTTTACGCCTCGTTTTGTCCTTGGCCCAAACTTGATTTTGTTTATTAAACATATTTTGCATAAAATTCACTTTATTTGCAGTTTATTTCATAAGAAAATTACTTGTATATAAGGCTTTGCCCAGCGACTGGGCCATGCTTGATAGTTTTTCCTCTTTGCTCTGCGGAGGGCTCCCGTCCCAAGGAGTGCACCTTATTCTTTGATTATGTTTGATCACGTTCAGTTGGAAAGTTTATTTGTTGGCTGGAGCAGAGAGCCATTGTTTGTCAGTCGTTTTTGAGTGGCTGGAGTTGGAGAGGTGCTGCTCTGGCGAGGATTTGGTGGATAAGTGTGGACAAGTTGGTAGCTGAAGGATACTAGGTAGACAGAGAATGGTGCGAAACCTTCGAAAACAATACCTATATATACATATGTATATCCTAGAGATAATTCATCCCATTATATCATTTTATGATATTTCTTTTTCAAATATTTTTCTAGAGTTTGCGAACGATATAAATGTTTCTGAGCCGAAATGTTTCCCCATTGCTGGCGATCGTCCTCATTGATTTTAATTTTATTTTCAAGTGCATTTTAATAATATTAAAATATAAATTAATTAATTGTTTTGTATGGAAGCTGTTGTGGATTAGTTAGCTAAAAACTAATAACCAATCACTTAGCGTTGTTATTAAAAGAATTCACTGAAACTAATTGAAACTGACTCAACTGATTTTTAACAAAAATTATCAAAAATATTCACCGCTCTAATCCCAAACACCACCAACCATCTCATATTATTTTTCCTACTCCCTCCACCCATTCTGCCACCCCTCACCATAATTTCACGTTGCTCTTATCTAAAAGATTCACATCAACATGTCTGTGCCTCCCCCATGGACCAACCCAAATGCAGTCACACATGAAAATCCCATAAAAATTGACAATAATAACCCACATATCATCATTGCTCTCTAACACATTTCCCCAAGCACATATGCACAGACGTACGTTCCACTCGATAAGAAGTCAACGCCTGCAAATCAGCCAGAAATCGAAAATCCACTCCCCAAAGGACAGAAGTGGAGCGAAAATCCAAAAACCGAATGAAGAAGAAAATCCCATAAAAAACAGTTCAATGATATAGAAAAATAGATAAAGCGAAATTTGCAAAAAATAACAACAATGCAAAAACCAAGAAAACACACAAAGAGGGGAAATGGAAAATGGAAAACGCGTGGCAATGGAATCAACTTTTAAACTAAGCCGCAAAAGGCACTTGAGTCGAGTTTGGAAGCGACTCCTCCCTAATGCCCCCACCATGGTGTTGTCAAGTGAATAATGGGACAAATCCGCAGAGTAAATATGACACGTTGCAAAATGGCATTCGATGATAAAAAAAAAGAGGAAAAGAATGAGCAGAAAAGAGTGCTTGAACCCACGCACCCTATTTGATGAACCCTTGCTCCACCCCTCCTGCAGGACTGTCACTGACAGTCGCACATCCTTTCACGAAAGGTGTTTTGACAAGGCGTCATGGCAAGTCAAAAGTGCAGACACAACAGGAGGGGGAGCTGAAGCAGAAGCAGTGGGCACACCCTTTTGCTACCGAACCGTAAGCGTATCAATAAAAAGATTGCTCCGCTGGGCATACGCATTCTGAAAATGTTTGTTTGATAAGCCCGAGGAGTATTCAATGCGTGTGTGGGGACTGCACTCTCCCCTTTTCTTCGAGGTAATACAAATATTACGCCTTTTTATGGTGAAAGCGAAGAGTGCAAACCAAATGTGGCATAAACATTACAAAGGGTTACCCCTAGAGAGAGCCAAGTTATATCTCTGTGACATTGAATCTTTATGTGTGCATTCGATATGCATTAAAATTCAATAATAATAAAAGCAACACAACAAAATGAAAGACAAAAACCGAAGTAGAATTCCCCCAATTAACCCTTGAATGGCGAGAGAAGGGAAAGTGGAATGGTTGGCCCGCCGTCTGAGGCAATATGAACGTCACATAAATCTTGGCAACACTACTACTAAGTCGCTATTAAGTAAAATTGACCACATATTTTATCTCATATGCGCACGCAACAAACGGAGAAACGGCAGCCAGTAGCAGCCAGGATCTCCTGCTCCACTATAATTCCTGAGACAGATGAGGGTCTGAATGGAGAGACACAACAGCACAATACTGCGAACCAAAACAATGTCCGAGTAAATTAACCCAAAGCCTGAACGGACTCACAAAATTAGATGTATAGAGAGGGCGCAGGGATGAGCGAAACTGTGCATGGGGTCACAGGAAAATGAAAGGACCAGCGATATATACGGCAAATAAATGAACAACTTGTTGGTCTGCTTGTGGCAACAAGTTGAAGAGCAAATTTGGCCATTTCCATTCAAAAAATACATTGGGGAAAGGCTATTAGTCTTAGAAATAACATATATTAATAATTATTGCCATTAATTGAAATAAAATATTTTATTTTCAAATTTAAATTTACAGCTCCGCCAGATGTATAAAAAACATTAGCTATTAATAAGAAGCTCATTGCTATGACACGCAAGTTACAAATTTAAAAAGCTACCGGACCTATCAAAAATAGAAGATTTTATAAAAAGATCCTTGCTATGACATGCTGCAGGCAGAAAATACCAATAAATTTGATGCAACATTCTTTGTTTAACCTTTTTTTAACAACAAAAAATGAAGAGAGCTTTTGAATTGAAACAGTCATGTAGAAAATTGATTGATAAATTGGATTACATTATAGTTTTAGCTCTGCGAATCCTACATGGCTAGTAAAATCTAATAGACCATCAAAATCGAGGAATATGATTTAAGATTAACGTTAAGTGTGAACGTACATATATTAATTTTGGCATATTTCTGTGGTCTGTCCTTGACCGTTTAGACAGGAGAGAATTTTCTTGATAGTGAAAGCTCCATTGTCTTGTGAAGGGTGTTTGAAAGCTCGCTAATATTCGAAAATGAAAATGAAAATGAACAACTTAATATTAAAAAAATATATATTAATATTTGAATATATTACATAGAAATAAAATAAAAGAATTAAAATCAAAGAAATCGGTTATTAGTCAGATAATGATGATTTTCAACGATATCATTTAACACATGTACATGTGTCTCGTTTAATAACTTACATACTGAACACTAAGCTTCCTTGCTTCCAGAAGGGGCGATTTTAATTAAATATTCAAATACAAATTTTAAATATATAATGTTATAAGGTATGCAATCCAATAAAAAAGAGTATTTAAAATAAGGCAAATGGATTCTTCGAACGGATTAAATTATTGTTTCAGTGTTAAAAGTCTTTGAAAGCTAGTAATATTAAATGGAACACCAATATCAAAGAATATGATTTAAGACTTCTGTATATTGACAGTATATTTAAAAAGTGAAATGGTATATTGTTAGTATATCTCGGTATATTTTTGTATGTTTTGGTATATTTCATATGTTCTGGCGGTATATTCGCGGTGACGTGTACTTTTTTTTGCGGCTAAATAAAATAAAAGACGCCTCGTATTTCCCACGTATTTCTAAAATAAGTGATTAACCAGCAGCATAGCATTGATAAGCATAAGGACAACCGAAAGTACCCATCCACTCCCACATAAGTAGATACAACTTTACAGACACGTAGGCTAGACCGGCTTTGGGAAGCAATGAGACAGCTGTGTAAGTATAAAATATCTTTGGAATGCTTAAATTGGATATCATAAACAGACAATATACTCCCATACAGCGAGCCTTTTGTTGTTGGCATTCATTGCCGGCAGTGTTAATGCCTTCTATGCGCCTTCCGATGGCGTCGTGGAGTTGACGCCCTCCAATTTCGATCGCGAAGTGTTGCAAGATGATGCCGTCTGGATTGTGGAATTCTATGCACCCTGGTGCGGCCACTGCCAGTCTCTGGTGCCGGAGTACAAGAAGCTGGCCAAGGCTCTGAAGGGCGTCGTCAAGGTGGGCTCCGTCAATGCCGATTCCGACAACACCCTGAGCGGCCAGTTCGGAGTACGTGGCTTTCCCACCATCAAAATCTTTGGCAGCAACAAGCGTTCGCCCACGGACTTTAATGGCCAGCGCACAGCCAAGGCAATTGCGGAGGCGGCTCTTGCCGAGGTGAAGAAGAAGGTGCAAGCTGCTCTGGGCGGCGGCAGCAGCGGCGGCGGTGGCGGCAGCAGTTCATCCAGCGATGATGATGTCATTGAACTAACCGAAGATAACTTTGATAAGCTTGTGCTCAACTCCGACGACATTTGGCTGGTAGAGTTCTTTGCCCCGTGGTGCGGACACTGCAAGAATCTGGCACCCGAGTGGGCCAAGGCCGCCAAGGAGCTCAAGGGCAAGGTGAAGCTGGGCGCTTTGGATGCCACTGCCCACCAGAGCAAGGCGGCCGAGTACAATGTTCGTGGATATCCCACAATCAAGTTCTTCGCTGCCGGTGCGAAGAGTGCCAGCGATGCTCAGGAATATCAGGGCGGTCGCACAGCCTCTGACATTGTCAGCTGGGCCAGTGACAAGCACACGGAGAATGTGCCCGCCCCCGAGCTGGTGCAAATAACTAGCGAGGCCATCCTAGATGATGCCTGCGAGGGCAAGCCCTTGTGCATTATCTCTGTTCTGCCACATATTCTGGACTGCGATGCCAAGTGCCGCAACAAGTTCCTCGTCACACTGCGCACCCTCGGCGATAAGTACAAGCAGAAGCTGTGGGGCTGGGCCTGGGCCGAAGGTGGCCAGCAGCCCGCTCTGGAGGAGTCCCTGGAAGTTGGAGGCTTTGGTTATCCCGCTCTGGCTGTGGTCAACTTCAAGAAAATGAAGTTCTCAGTGCTGAAGGGTTCGTTCTCGAAGGACGGCATCAGCGAGTTCCTGCGCGACATCTCCTACGGACGTGGACACACGGCTCCCGTGCGTGGCGCCAAGAAGCCAACGATTGTCAGCGTCGATCCCTGGGATGGCAAGGATGGCCAGCTGCCCACCGAGGAGGACATCGATCTGAGCGACATTGATCTGGATGATGATGTCAAGGATGAGCTGTAGAGCGGTTTCATCTAGCTCTCCCTCACATCAAGACTGCAGCTTCAGCTCAAATTTCCACACCTAATGAACACACACATTTCTAAGGAAATACTGCATTTTGAATGATATATTATGGAACTTCATAAGTCAGCCAGCGTATCTTAATATAAATAATTATTATCTATTAGCTTTTTCTACTACTACTTTCCTCACATCATAGATCTAAATGAATTTAAACCAGCGAAACCATGAGAATTGTGTACCATGAAATGAATAAAAAAATGTGCAACAAACTGTGTGAATCTATAAAGATGTTTGTTAACAGGTCCAATGAAAAGTAATAGATACCTGTAATTTAGAATTCGGAAGAACAAATTGTATCCTAATGAATACTAAGAGATTTGACCATTTGCTTTACAGAATCAAATGTGTTTCGCTTATCGCAGAATGCCAGAAAGTTATTGCTAATTCTATATATGCAATATAAATAGTTCCTATTCCACAGTTGACTTAAAACCCGTCCAGATCTTTCTGTATTGTAATGGACCCCTGCTCCCTGACCACAATCTGTTATTATTCATCAACCAGTTTTATATGACTCAATTTCGTTACTGCTTAGGTTCTATGCCTAAAAGGGAATAATTGGCAAAAAATCAGTTTGCTCAACCATTTCATCATTATTTGGGACCCCCTGCGACCTCTAATAACTATTATTCTACCGCATAGCACACAATTCTGAAAAGAGAATTCCCAAGAATTAAGAGAATGAAATCCAAACAAACATTTACTTCTTTTCACCACACAATCCGTGGCTGTTTATTTTTTGTAAAAATTCTTACAAAAATGTCCAAAAATATTCGTATATTGTAGGTACCTTTAAAATGGTTTGCGCTTACACACTAAATGACGTCTAAAACGAACATAATTTGACACAATTTCTAGTTTAGATGCAGTACTAAATGCAGTAAAAATGGTAGAAGATACTCGTATCTTGGTGGCATATTGATTGGCGCTTAAACTATGATTGGCATGACATATAAGCTATTAAGTACTTGGTTTCGATTTAAGTACAACCTGTAGGCAAATGCTTTAATGAATGGGAAAAATTCGAGCATCACAAAGAGTTCAATTCGAGCAGGGGGTTTTCGTTTCGTTTCGTTTCTTAGCAGAGATATGAGATAATATATGCGAGTCGTTATGTAAATTAGGGCGAGAGAAGTTCGTTCACACAGAAACAGACAGAACAGGGACTGGCTTGCCAAATTTTAAGTTATTTCATTGGAAGCAATGCCGCGCAACGTGACTCAATTGCCACACTTTGGCTTTGTCTTGGGACGGGCAGACAGACTCTGCCAGCGCAGACTGTAAACGTTTTGGACGGGTCGGCGGTGCTGGGAGACTACCTGCATAAAAAGAAATAAAAACTGTTGGCCTCAGCATGAAAACGGCCAAAGAACGGGGCCCAGACGAGCCCGAGAAAGGGAAAATGAGAAGGAGGTGGGGTGGCCCAAAAGGGTCTCTCTGCAGGCCAGGCAAACTTGTTGAGCTGTCGAGAGCCTGAGCCTGCAGTAAATGCACACGCATGAACGAAACAACAGATAAACAGAGAGACAAAGACAAAGACAGAGAGAAGCAGACACCTTAAGGAGGGATGTGCATGTGGGATCCGTAGGAAGCCCAATTTACAATTGTGAATGATTAATTCCCATTCGTTCTTCGGACTCAACTGGTTATTGCTATGTTAATACTAAATATTTGTAAGCATACTTATTGAATTTTGTCTCTTGCTGGCGTGGAAAAGTCTTTTGTGTCCGAATCGATTCGGAAAACTATTCTACGGCACTGTCCTAGGGGCTAATCCATCAATAATTTCGGGGAATCAGGCAAGTTGATGGTGGTGCTTCTGCTCGGGATAGTTCTCTATTGACTGTATCGAGCGCGATGTGGCCGCGGTGATTGTGGAGGATACATCCATAAAGCGATACTTTTTCTCATCTCGGCACAGCAGCGGATAGCATATGATGCCGTAGTAGAAGATGAGGGAGAGCACGATGACCGTAAATATGATAAGAATGATGCCGAAGGTGCTGAGGCCCGCCCTGCTGTCCAGATACTCCTTGGGCGTTTGCGGTGGCGGCGTGGTGGGGGGCGCCTCTGCTACCTTGTAGCCTCTGTAATAGCTGTTGCGCGATGCATTTACGGTGGAAATCAGGCAAGTGGAGGCTGTGTACGTGCCCCAGAAAGGGGGTGAAAATGAGAACGAGAACATGCGTTTAAAAACCTCTCCCACACGGGCATATCGCTTCCAAAACTCACCCAACACAAGCAGACACACGATATAGGCACTGCGCGACATTTTACAAACTCAATTGAAGGCTAAAACCACGCACAGCGAGCGATAACGTTAGTTTCTATTTTATTTATGCGTTCGGCGCAGACGCAGCAGCGGTATTAAATAAATATAAGATACCAACAGACCCTCGGAAATATACTGAAATATACACTTGCATTTTCAATATACCGTAAATCTAAAACCATTTTCCTCGATTTTGATGTTCTATTTGATATTAGTAGCTAGTTAGGAGTCTCAGCATTAAAAATATAGTTTTACTAAAATCATCATTCAGTTCTCCGCAGAATTGGGTGATTCTATGATATATATTTCCTGGATTGATTACATAATTTACTTAACATTATAATTCGATTTTATCAGCTGCTTTTAATAATAAACACATTCTATTTTTAATGTCCGTTCGGCAAACAACACTTTTTTGAGTTCCAAATTTTCAGTAACTTTTTTTTAATATTCAACGTGAAGTACCTGGTCAATGTGGACTCATCGTCTACGACCAACCAATTTCGCTGTAGCGATTGAATAACAAAAAGAAAAAACATATAGCTAATGTTACTACTGTAATCTGAGATACCTATACTATTATGACTATGGTGGCCACCATCGATGTTTTCCCAGCCCTAGATTCCAGCGGAACTAGAATAAAATATACCAAAATATACCTTCTCATTTGAAAAATATACCGTAGTCTTAAATCATGTTGCTCGATTTTGATGTTCTATTTGATATTACTAGCATGCAAAGACTTTTAACACTGACACAATAATTTTACTCGATTGATCAATCAATTTCCTACAAGATTGGCTAATTTAAGGAACTTCTTTATTGGATTAGTTATAAAATGGATCAAAACAAAGATGGTTATCAAAAATGTCATTGTTTTTACATGGTAACTCACAGCAGCCGCACAAAGCCTTTCGCTAGTGGTAACACTATCGGTATTTCCTCGAATGCAACTATTTTTAGCTTTCTTGAACTGAAACGTATAAAATCACTTTGTACCGAAATTCTTTTGGTTTCAGCTTACTTATATAGTATTAGTACACCCAGGGCCGTTCAACAGACTTAAACGGCAGTTTGTAAGGTCCCTGGGTAAAGGTAGCCATCAATATATTCGTAGATGTTGCTGTCAAAGCCTAGCTGTCGGGAAGTTCTACATTTATATATATTTTTGCTATGCCCCATCGACTTTCTATACCCAATCTTCAGTCTCCATAAGCTCAATAATGTGGTGCCATTAGCTGTGGACACTCACCAAATAGTATAGTTATATACTATACTATATATACCATATATATATACCATACTATTTGGTTAGTGCTGTGGGGCAGGGCATAGCTTCAGTTGTGTTGGTGTTTCCAATCTCAAGGGCTGTAGAATGATTGCCAACTATATCCAGAGCGAATTTTTCATAGCCTTCGAGCTCAACCTCACACTCATACAGAGCCAAATTCTTTTCATCGTTGTTCGCAAGGTCGTTTGATTTATCTGTAGAATTGTTTTAGGTTAACATGGTACTTCGCAGACAATATTGTCTGTTTTTTTGTGTTGTGTTTACCTATTTTAAGATTAACCAGCTCGCAGGGAGTGTGTGCCAACTATACTCCGCTCAAATTGTTCGTAGTAGACCAAATTATTCTCATCGTTGCCTGTAGGAGAGAAATGGTCAAAATTTCATGGAGATAATGTCGATCAATATTCTACAGCTTACCGCCTTCAAGATTTTTGAGCTCTGCTGGAGATGGCCAAGTGGAGGTTATTTCCGACATACAGTACAGAATAGAATCTGTGCAAAGTTTTGTTTGTGGCTCTTTTCGAACTAAGCGCGTCCTAATGTCGTCGCCTACATGTGCTTACCGCCTTTTTTAGGGCTATGCCGCTGGGATATGTCTGATATCTGACCGAACATGCTGCACAAATATTGCAAGTAGGCTTTCTGTTCTTCGAGCGAGACCTATGGGTAAGTAATGGTAATTTTAATGGTAAGTACAAAATTGCCGCTCATTGCCTATCAATAGTTTTTAAGGTTGCTGCATTTAAACAAAATCTCAAAGTAATTTCATTGGAACGTGAAATATTACATGGATTATTAATTTATTTACAAAAATTATACATATTTATTCCTAATGATATGCAAATATCATTCATACCTATTATGTAAATACATACAAAGTATATACAAATATGTATGTGCATATGTATATTGGGTTGCGGTTATACAAATCGACACAGCTTCAACTTGCGTTGTTTCACAATCTAAATCAAAGCATCAAATGAATTAACAAGTAACGTCAAATCCCCCTCAAATCTCAGCTGAGCGTGTCCAAAGTTAAACCAAGTAATTCCTCCCTTGCGTTTGGAAGTTGGCAGAAATTGGTTCAAACGATGGGTTTTTACGGTGCGTGTGTGGATCGCTGGGCCTTTGAAACAACTCTGAGAAGTCCTGGCTGCTTACATACCTGCCAGGCCCTCCCAGACACATGCCGTTCATACTGTGGCCAGAGTTTGCTCTGAGTTCCACCTCTGGTTCATATATGTTTTCAACAAGACCACGTTGAGATAGTGCTGTACGCCGTTGGCGCTTTTGATCTGTCGCGTTTTGAATATTTTCAATCCTGGCTCTTTGGGAGGCAAGGGCCGTGCAGCTCATTATAATGGCCAGCAGGACACAAAACTCAACAAGAGCCATTAATAGGCTGGCGCCAAGGAATACACTATACTGCTCCCGATACCAGGTGTCGAGATGGAGCAGACATGATTCCGTATAGCGCTCTCTCTCGTAGGATAAATGATTCAGGGACTTACACTGAGTCTCGTTTGCTGGCTTCGGATCTAGATATGCGAATGGCTGTGGCGCATTTTCCAGGACACAGCAACTTAATGGAACAGGCCAATTGGCTTGCCCATAACTTTGGAGACGCCATAACGATGTGTCGTAGT